TCTCCACAGTCTCCTCCTCAGGTTTCTCTGTCTCCTCAGGCTTCTCAGCAGCAGTTTCCTGAACAACTGAAACTTCTTCTAGCGTCGCCTCATGTTGCTGCGTCGCTTGCTCAACTGCTCGAGCTTCCAGTTCTTCTAAGTCCTTTAGGCCCTCCTTTATTTCCTCCTGCACTAAGAAGTCAGCAACTTCACCTGACAAGGCTCTCTCAAACCCGTCTTCTTCACCTTCATGTTCTTCTGCATCTTCACAGTCTTCCTTCTTCTTTTCCTCCTAACCAGGCGTTTGGGAGAAATGAATTGAGGGCAAGCAGAGCTGACTTCAAACGATGAGTTATGGGACAGAAACATGATATTGGCATAGGCATAGACACACATACAAGAAAGTAAGTACCAATCCTGGAGCTGCTTCTTGGCACACGAAGATGAAGCTTTTGCCTCCTGCAATTGTGTCTTGCTACTGATTGCCTTGACATTCTGCATGATTTGCTTGATGTCGGTCTGGCTAAGGATTTTGTGATTCTTTAAGTTCTTTTCCTGTTGTGCTTTGGCCTTCGCCGCTGCCTTCTCCTCCTTAGCTTTCGCCTTGGCAGCAGCTTTTTCAGCTGCCTGTGCTTGCTTGACGGCCTTGGCGGCTGCCTTCGCAGCTGCTGTTTTTGGATCAGCTGCCTTCTTTGGTGCCATGGTTCCTGTCCTAGGTCCTGTGGAACCTTGAACCAAGTCACTCCATTCACATCAATTCAGTCGTAATTGAACGTTATAATTTGGACAGAACTTTGTCAAGGTGTATCGAAGGCATGTGTATATATGCTGTAGTTTTTTTCAATCCAGTTCTGCTCCTGCTGACTTGTAGTGTCAGCCTTGTCTTTGCCAGCCTCAGTTCAACTCACACCTATGGTCCTACAATGCCTAGCGGCTTTCCTGCTAGATGGAACACAGGAACATAGGCAAGGACGAGGAAGCGATCCCTCAATGCTTCGCACTCATCCTCACAACCCCATCTGAGGTAGCCATCTGTCGACAACTAAAGGCCACAACTAAAGGGTTACAAAATCAGAAAACTGTGTCTCAAAAAAGAAGCAACATGGACAGGGTGACCTTTGAACAAAAACCATTGCTCTTCTTGCAATTGATTCCGGTTAAAGTTAAACACATAATGTGAAAATCATATCAAATTCATTGTCAGCCACCCTATTCTGCATGATGCAGAGACTTGGCTTGCAATGTGCCTGGAATTACCAAACCCATCTCTGTACAAGAAGCCATTGTGTCCTTCAAAGTTTGCTTCATCTTGGTGGGAGTTGGCTCTTTGTTTGCCAAAGCCCTGACAAAGCGCTTGGAAGAGAGAAGCTGAATCAACGCAATGATTGCCAGAATGCTGAGGAGTTTGGTCCGGTTGCTGACTCCGGTGTCTAAGCCTTTCATGTGGCAAGAGATGTCAAAGCCCTGGTCCTGAAGTGCCTGCAAGTGGTAAAATACAGAAAGACATGACAATACAGCTTCGAAAACTCTACTCTAGACTCTAGACTAGACTTTCCTCCACACATTTGGAACACCAGTCATTGTCCAACTGTGACCTTTAAACTTCTATTCAAAAATGTTCGATTAGTGGTTTAGTTTTGCCTTGCAATCATCGATGATGCTCTGCAACTTCCCAGAGTACTTTGCAAGAACCTGCGTGTCGAGATCCGCCAACTTAGGGAATTTGTCTAGCGCAGGACCCGGGTTGCTGTTGTCCGTCTCCTCATACTCAATGCTGGATGGATCAGGAACTGCAAGTGCTTCAATCTCCGTGTTCAGCATAATAATGTGTTTGTCCTGGTCAATTGTGACAACAATGTGCAAGTGGAAATTCATAAAGTTGAAATTGTAAATCAAACAAAACATTGTACAGTAGATACATCTAAGTTTAAAGAATACAGTAATAAATAAAGACTCCTGCTCCACGCACCATCCACCAATGAGTTTGTGCACAGACTCAACGACTCCATCGCGGGCTGCTGCCAACAATTCAGCTGAAATCCAATCACATTCCCCAGCGACTGTAGCAATAGAGTCGAAGTCCTCTGTCTTGAACGCAGCCAATGCCGAGGAAACCGGCACAATTTGTGTCAGCTTGTCAGCTTCAATGTTGGCCTTTTGATTGGCAACAGCAGCGCCTCCATGTCAAGAAGTGAGGCAAACAAAAGGAAACCTAAAGACTGTGGCTAAGACACAGACTGTACTATCTTGGGGGTTGCTAGCACACGTCAGCATTGACTAACTCTCTGACGCGGCCTGCAAACACAACTGTCTCGGCAAACTCAGCCAGTTTGATTAATCCTGAACGCTCTTTGTGATCATGAGGCAAAGACGCCGCATGCAACTTGAGAGAACTTGCGTTTTTCTCCAAGTTGTCGCAAGAGACCGTCTTGTCCTTCATGTACGCCTGAAGAGTTTCAAGAACGTTCTTCTTGAAGGACGAAGCACTGGTGGTCGCCGCCTGCTCAGCCAACTTCGTAAGTTGTTTGCCAAAGAGGTCCATCAATTCTGTGAGATGAGTCAAGAACTCAGTGCAAACAGCTTCCGGTGCAATTGCTGCCAGTGACTCCTGCCAGTGACTTTCCAGTGCTTCACTCCAGTTATCAATTAATAATTATCATCAATTATCCCAATATATCCCAATTACTTTGTTTAGTCATCAACAACTGTCCTTCAGCGTTTTGTTGCTCTCTGCAAACTTTTTGATGTTGGTTTGCATGCTGGCTGTGTCAAAGGATGGATTGACTCTCATTTGGACACAATTCTTTGCAATGCATGCAAGCGTATCGACGAGCTCTTTCACTGGCTTGAATGCATCAATAGACACCAATTTCTCCCACCCTTTCCACGTCTCAGTGGGAGGAGGTGCGAACACACCTGACTGCCTGAAGCCTTTATCCGCATCCATCAACCAAGGGCTCACCTGTCCAGGGCTGGGCGAATTACCATGCCAATGCAAATCATGTTTCTTGACTTTAAACTTTAAACTTAAACTCACTCACACACAATGGTACACAAACGCCTCACTCTGCACGGTGAAGTACACCAAGCGCAAAGCCGCACACTTGATTTCTGCTTGCACTTGAGAGAGTGCCTCTTTGCCCATGGAACGTGCGCGATGTTTGTCGCCTTTGATTTGTGCCACCAGTTGAGAGGCACTCAGTACTGCATCACACCTCAACATCGGGAAATGCAAACCACTTAACATATCCTAAGTATATATGTACATAGTATGTATATATTATAAATCGATACTGTAGTACATTAATACCCAAATCTGTTTGCAGAACATTGAATGTCAAGCCATGTGACATGGAAGGGAACAGACTCTGGTTGACTGCACCCAGGGAGTTAGGCAACTTGCTCGTAGCTTCGGTCAATTGGGATTGCTCTCCAAGTTCTTTCTCTCGAACATCTGCCATAGACTCACAGTCCTGGGAAATCTTGGTAGCCAAACTTGTTGGCTGAATTGTGGCAGTCAAAGGATAGGATGAAGACCTTGGTAGTCTGTAGAAGAAACGCATGACATAAACCTAGACCTAAACATAAAACTCATAAAACAGAAGCTTAAAAACATGCAAGCAAAACATATGGTACAGCAAAATATAAATCGAGTATAAGTAAAGGCCAAACAAGAATCAGCTCTGAATCCTTCAATGCTTCTGCAAGCTTGGTGATTGCAGAACGGACATCCTTCAAAGGCATGGTGTCAGCTCGTAGAAGGGCCAACACTGTGAAGCCATCCTTTTTCATAGAGTCTTCCAGATCATTTGAAGCCTGCATGGCATTCAAGAATCCCTCTAGATTCGAAAGCGTCTTCTTGTTGTACTGCGTAAAGATAGGTTCCTGACAAACCACTCGTCATGCCACATTTGTAAAAGTATGGTGAGTCAACAAAGTGGAATCAAGTCACTACTACATTCCTAGCAGAGTATACTGTGCTGACTGGATGATTTTTTGAACTTGTGTGTCCTTCATCTTCAGCTTGCCCGCTGCTGTCTTCACTAGTTTCTGCATGGCTTGCGCAGTGCACAAAGAGAAAAAGCCTGTTGCATCCAGCGCATCAGGAGCGCTCATCTTGCCACTGAATCGGTTTTCAAATGTTTTGAAGGTCTCAGTGAAAAGGACAGTCCACTCACAAAGTTTCACCCGTTCGTTGAATTCCGTTTTCAATGCCCGTCTCATGATCGCGTGGTTCACTGACACAGCTTTGGGCGCTTCATCAATCATTGCCAGTAGACTGGACTGTGAGTCGACTGATGCTGTTCCCAGCAAGCCTGAGATTGCGAGTTGAACTGCATTGTATTTGATTACTTTACTATACATACCAAAAGGAAACATCGCAAATAAACATTTAAGTTGTAAAGTCAAAGTAGCATTTGATCAGGTGTCCCACACTTTTGGCTTTTGAATCAATATCGTTCAGTGCTGCAAAGAGAGGGTCTTCAGTCTTGTTGCTCCTCCGAGACACACTCTTCTTCTTCACCCGCATCTCTTGACTCATGGAAGATAGGGCTGTGAGTTTTTTCCTGCATGTACTGCTTGAAAGCGGCGTCGCCAATTGGAGGCTCCAAGCAACCAATATCCATGAGTTTCTTTTCAAACCCACTAACAGTCACCTTGTCAGCTGTTGACATCTCTTCTGGCTGATCAGCCCCTTCGTCTTCAACTTGAACATCATCTTCTGCCTTGTCAGGCTTGTCCTTCTTTGAGGCTTTTGCCTTTGGCTTTGTGCTTGCAGTACCAGCAGCACGACTGCGCTTCCGCAAAGGCTCATGTTCAGGCCCCTTCTCAGCAGAAGGAGGCACTTCCGTGATGGTCCTCTTGGGCTTCGATGGGCTTTTTCCAGCAGCAGCCTTTGCTGATGGTTTTGCTGATGCCTTTGGCTTTGTCGTCTTGCCCTGAAACCGGTCTTTCAAGAAGGCAAACAGTCCAGCAGGGCCTTCATCATCATCACTTTCACTGTTTGGCTCTGCCCCAGCAGCCCCACATTGGTTAGGCTCCAGGTTATTCATGCCCTCCGCCAAACCAGCCTCCAAGAGAGTTTGAACTTTGAACACAGTAATTGTTTCACAGTTTGCAAAAGCTGACTGAGAACTGAAAGCAAGACTCAATGCGCCTTAGTGGATGATGACTTTGACTCACACATAGGAGCCTCCACTGACGGCGTATGCTTGGACATCACCTCTTTCTTTGCTGCAGCAAAGATATTGTCATATGCCTTGCCAGACTTGTCCAGGTTGATGTCATCGGTCAAAGTAGCTTGTCGACCAACTTCCTGTGTTTGGTCATCAATACGCTCGAACCAACCAGCCTTGCCAGTCAGAACATTTACCTGGCCCAGCAATGTCATTAGGTGAAGCAGCACCAGATTAAACGTTACTAGTTACTAAGTACTTGTATTCCCCAACAACCAAACAAAGCGAACAGGTGGAAAGTGGAAAGTTGAAAAGAAGATGACTGATAACGCCAAGCCACTCCTCTCATGCGTGTTCCATTGAACTCCTCCACAACCAATTCCTCATCATAGGCTTTGCGTCCAAAATGAGCTTCAAAAGCCGATTCCTCCACAAAGTGTGTTTTGGGAGCTTTGAGCCCTTGCTTTCTGTTCTGGCTGGTTGTGATCTTCTCCATAACCTGTGCCAAGTTTGCCTCCAACCTGAATTTGCAATTGGGATCAAGGATCTTGAGGCGAATCAGCTCTTTGCATAGTTCCTTGATCCAAAGCCAAAACAGTGAATTTGAACTGCATAGCTGCCCTGAGTAAAATTACTGTCTCCAATGTCCAAGTCTCAAGAAACGTGTGAAGCAAAGTTGGATCCGATGCAATAGCTGCTTGAAATTTGGCATGAGTGACATAGTTGGCTTCATAGCCGCCCTGGGTCCAGACCTTTGATGCACAAAATAACATATATGATATGAGTATGCAGTATACAGTATGAGATGATCACATTCCAACCAGGACACAATCGCACATATCTTGCAAAGATCTCCTATGGGCTTTGTGACAGCGCCACGTGCCCATGGAAGAAGGACAATCCAGCTAGCCAAGACCGTGTTGGACAGATTCCATTTGCAAAGCTCAGTGCTCCAGCATCGGCAGTATTTGCACTTTTTGGCCTTGTAGGTATCTGGCAGGTCCACTGTGTCAGGAGGAGCGGGTGCCTCCTCATGAACAGACCTAGCTGCTGTAGTCTTGGCCTTTTTGGATGGTGGACAAGACACTCCTGTATGGACTGTGGACGGTGCCATTGACTCACGTTCATCTTCGCATTCACTATCACACATCTGGGCGCAAGGAAGGAGGTGGAAGCGTAACAGGACTTCTGAGTTGTGACAAATGCCAACTGCGGACTCGACTATCCACATTGTCCTCAAAACCTGCACCACTGGTCCCCACAGCACTGTACCACTGTACCACCCTGTACTATATCATTGTACCCACTGTACTGTACCCACTGTACCCATCGTACCGTACCCACTGTACCCATCGTACCGTACCACTGTACCCACCGTACCGTACCCACTGTACCCACAGACTGTACCCCCCAAGATTGTTGTGTTTCCTTCAGAAATTGTTGTGTTTTTTTTTAGGTTCTTGCATACGTATGAAGAAAAAACATAGCAAATTCTGGAGGAAACACAACAATCTTGGGGGGTACAGTCTGTGGGTACAGTGGGTACGGTACGGTGGGTACAGTGGGTACAGTGGTACGGTACAGTGGGTACGGTACGATGGGTACAGTGGGTACAGTAGGTGGGTACAGTGGTGAGGGACGGTGGGGACAGTGGTAGAGTTGACTGTGTGGCGCGTGAAGCTCTGCAGACAATATGACAACACACTTAGTAGACAGCAGTAAAACCGCTTGGCAGATTGTTTGCTTTGTGACTGTGTCTCCAACTGTGCAACTTCAAATGCATGTCACTGGCACAACTCACAACAGTCTCTACAGCAAGCAAACTTTTTTGTCATCTTGTTTTTTCCCCTTTCTTCCACTCATGCTCTTCTGTCGCCCGATCAAAGAGTTTCCCGCATCACAAACTGATTGAACCTAAGCTTCCGTTTGAAACTGAGTATGATACACTATATACTGACCAAAACTGATTCTTGCAACTTGAAATGCACTCTAACTTAATATGCTGAGAAATGTGCAGCGCTTTGTGCTCAGGCCCTTGGCTACGATTGGTGTATTGCAGCCCATGATGTAACCATCGCAATACGTTGGCCTGGTCAGTTGACCATTGCCATGTATGTGAGATACACCAACTGAACACATATAGGAAATAAAACTATAATTCCATACATAACATACTGCAGACTACAGACCCCTTTGCAGCAAATAATAAACAAACCCCCTTGCCTGAAATCCCACTGGCAACGCTTTTAGTAGGCGTATTTGTTTGCATTCACGATGCTGATGGCACGCAATACTGATGGAATGTCCTGGTGTATCCTGCTTGAATTGTGTTAAACGACCTATCAGGGCATTGCGTTTGAGACTTGAACTTGAACACATACAACATTTGGCCCCCACTCTGCAAAAAGAACGTCCCAGGTCTAGCTTTGCGTAAAGCCAAAGGAAACAGCGGCCTAGTCAGTTTAACGCCCTGCCTAGACACCGGTTCAGGCCACTGACATACACACGACCAGATTCATCCTGTCTGATTGTAGAGCCACTCTCTTCGTCTACGACTCTGAATTCTGCTATTGCTGTTGCCGCCTTTGGTGCCGCCCTGCTAGATCGGGCAGCTGCTGAAGATGAAGATTGTGCTTCTCCCACTTCTGCTATCACAGAGGCTCCATGCTCCTGCAGTTGGACTGGTGCAGTTCAAAAGTGAACATCACATCACATACAACACATAAGGACAAAATAAGTTGTAAACATTGTAAACTGTACAAAGCTTCATGTAAGTTGCAAAGTGCAACTAAGTAAAACGTTGTGCTAACAGCTGTTGGAACCTTCCGTTTTCCTTTACAAGTAGGACACCTTTGGATCACTTCTTGTTGATCATGTAAGTGCAACTAAGTGGCCAAGGTGTGCATGCTCTCCCATGTTTCCTCGATTTGGGCAAGTTCATGTTCACTTGCACCACCGCTTTCATCACCATCTAGCAAGGATATCTTTGGCAACTGATCAAGCGAGTTCCGCTTGCGCTTGGCACCTACCAGTGTTGCGACAGGACAAACCACCATACACTACACACACACACCTCACACAAAACATCGCCTTCTAGGTTACAAATTCTAGTTTAGTATAGTCAGACCAAAGTCCAGACCCTGAAGCCTTACCTGGTTTGGCTGTGCTCCGGGTGCGAGTAGTCACCTTGCCATTTCTTGCTGGAGTTGGTGTTTGTTTCTTTCCACTCACGGCTGAAATAAAATGCTTTGCCGAGATATCAAGCTTTTCCTCCTCATCTGAGCTATTGAAGCCACCCTGAATGGCTCCCGTCTCTAGCCAGCGGTCTGAATCAGCATCAGGAAGTTCAAGTGCCAGGCAATTCAATGATTCTACCTGTACATAGCTTTTGGGAAAGTGTACATTGTTGTGTAGGCTGTTTAGACCCAAGAATGACAAGATGAATTAAACAACGTTTCATGTTAACCACTGCCGAAGCGACCATGTAACCGGATAAAGCCATCTTCAATTTGGATCCTGAATGCACAGTGTTGCTCAGCTCCTTTGCTAGTCCCTGCTGTGTAAAGATCAAAGGAAGCTCGCTGTTTGTGCCCTCATCAGTAAAGAGTGGAGACGCTTTCCCATTCTCAATCTGCCACTCCCACCATGAAGTATTGTAAGGATTGTACTGGACATAGGACATTAGCCAGCCTCGCCACGCCTGTGGAGACCTTGGATAAGCTTCTCATTCTCATACTCTTCGTTGATTAGGCGTTGTGGCAGCAGTGAGGTAGAGTTGTTTGTGACTAGTTGAACTCACACCGATTTGTTCACAACTACTTCCAATTTCCGTTGCATTGTTTTGAAAGCGACCCCTTTTTCATCCAATGCTTTGCTTTGGAAAGGATGTTTCTCTCAACTCTCAGCTTCACAGTTCAATGTAACATGTATTTTTTGTATACAATTGGTGAATAATGATGCCTAGGACTACATAGAACAGACTCGACCTAAACTCTGTTGCCCTCCCCTATTTAATTCTCTGAGTGTCTCCTCCGGCTTGCGCACCACCAAGAGCAAATGTGGTAGGAGCTTTGCTTCTTTGCCTTGTTTGCTGTTGTCTGCTGTCATCCTTCTGTGTGTTCTCGCAAAGCTTCTCAATTGTTCCTCAACATGCTTGTAGATGGTCATAGATAGGATCGTGCTGTGGCAGAATCCAAACCTTGGGCCGGACTATCAGTGAAGCAGTTTTTAAGTCAGATTCGGTGTTGAGATTACATGTTGCCTACATTCTGTGCTCCGCATTATCTTCATGTTTCTGATTTCATTTGAAGCTTAACAGCTTAAATCCTGAGGCTGAAACCATTGATCATGATGTTAATCAAACAGCGTTACAGTTGATTAACTTAATTCAATTTAGATTCAGATGATTAATACATGGACAGTTGAGATTTAGACACTCTGGCAAGGCAGGACACTCTTGCAAGCAGGAGAGCCGTATAGTTCCAGAAAGAGATGCCATTGCTTTGTGCTGGCTGCAAACACCGTTACAGAATTCTCGCCAGCGGCTACTCCAAGCTCTTACAAAGCCAGGATTGTTTTCATCAGCTGTAGCAACTGTGGATTCTGCAAGGCCAAAGTTCACATCCCCAGAACCCATAACGCCCGGAGCCTGCTGCGGCACAAACTCAGCTATAGCTTGGTATTCTTTGGCATGAGGAACGATAGGCTCAGATTCAACTGCGGGCTCATGAAGAGAAACACAATCCTGGCGTGTCTGCTCAATTAGCATCCTGGACTTTTCCCCTTGGTTCAAGTCATGTGCCTGGTCAGCGTAGGTCTTCTTGAAAGCAGGAAGTGAGGTTGCCCACCTTTGCTTGCAATCATTCATCGTGCGCTTTCTACAGGCTTCAGCCGACTCACCCGCTAGTGGAACACGAGCGTGCATAGAGTCCGACAAAAACTTTGTGAATCCATTCCACTGCCCTTTCCGCTTTGATCGCCGCTGTCCGCCTTCACACATGTGCATGTGGGACCGATGGTTAATCACTGGTCCTACTACAGCACCAGGTCAATCGTTGTGCAAACTCCATTGGATTTGTTTTTTGTTTGGGAATCCTGGACGAGTTCTGACTTAAATGACTTAAATGTTGCAAGTTGAGAGAAAGTTGAGTGGCATATAGTATAATGACTCCTGGTTCATGATTGCGTATACTTATTGAAGTACACTATAATTTAAATATAAATGATAAATATAGATAGTTGGTTACATTCATGTAGTCTTAAAAGCTAGAATAATGATACAACTATAGACAGATCAGATAGTGTCGTCCGACTGGGCAAAACGAGCAGAACATGTTTTCTTATGGAGAAGTAGCTGTCTCATCTTTAGCAAGTGCACTCCTGCCTGTGAAAGATGTTGTTGCAAGTCGTCCAATTCCTCTGAGATACTGGATTTGTTTATGGTGGGCTCCCTTTATCTCTGCCAGAACATGTTTCGCCGCGAGACTTGGGAAAATCTCGGAACGGCCACGCCCACAACGCTTGGCTGACTGGAGTCTTGCAAAGTTGCATTCTATTTGAATATTGCAGTTCGTCCCATGGTAGCATCCCTGTAGGTGTTTTTCTAACTTGCCACCTGGCAACAGATCATCCACTGAACTGCAAAGCTTCCTGAATGGCATAGCAAAAGCCCGGTCCAAGCAGCACTGCTGAAGACCCAAAAACCAATGAGCTAAATTGTTCTTTTCAGCAAGGGAAACTCCAGTGTTGAGCAGCTGGGCTAAGCACCATGGCA